ATATATATATATATATATATATATATATATATATGGAGGCTACGGTATGAGCGCCAACTCTCTCATGCGATTATAATTCGAGTACCACCCTATACTCAGGAAGAATCAAACCCCAGATCAGATGAGACTTACAACTGACATGCAGATGTCAGACCAACTGATCTGAATATGCGACACATTGCTAACACTATAATTCATTATTCCACCGCTGTGAATTTTCAGGCAAGAGTCACTCCTAAAACAATTAATTTGGTAAAAGAAGATCTCTTACTTCATACTTTCTATATTCAATACAATTTATTAAAAAATATATCCTATTATTCACCAACTCATCCTGACCGTACCATGTGAGACCCTACCCGAATCGCCTGTAACCCTATCTAGGCTTGGCTTGTTTTCAGGCAAAAAGTGATGAGCTGAAGTTGATAACAACTCAATTATATTATATAGGAAATAATAAAAAAAAAATTTACTTCTAACAAACTATTAATGTGTGTAAATATATTGAAAATTTCATATTTACATAAAATTCATAAATTTATGACAACAAATTTATATACTTATAAACATAAGAATTTAGTTGCTAGACATGCACTCTCTACATACCTAAGAATTTGTGTGACTTGTTTGTGAATTTCTCTTTGAACTATTTATTTGAAAATGAGTTTTCAAGTAATTGAGGTCTTAGGTCTAACTACGATCACACTCAACTTTACTCCCTAATTAATAATTATAGTTGATTGCATGGCTAAAATCGGGTGATTTATGCAATTTAAAAGTTTAAAAGGTCTTTCAAATGCCTTCTAGTCGGATTACCATTCACGGAATACATTGTAGTTAAGTAAGTTTGTTGCGTGCCAGAAGATTCATGATGATAAAGTGATATTTAATATATTAGCGTTGCATGACAATCTAACACATACACAGATAAAAGAAATGTAGCATAAGGAAACACTGAATTTTTTTATGTGGAAAAACCTAGAAAATGAAAAAAATTAACGGGGTCATGCTGAGTCAAAATAATTTACTATAAATGTGTATGTACAAATATATACTCTTTTCTCACAACTGGATAAGCAGGGTTACTATATTACATTAGATCAAAACGTGTCGGAATACAACATACAAAAAAAAAATATGTGTGTTAGGAACTATCACCTTACTCTGACTAGGACAATCATAAATTGCGGTCGCCTGTGGCCAGTGGTCGAAGACAATAATTATTGATGGTGGTCGGTAGCTACTAATGTCCAAAATTGTTGTCGGGTTTTTAATATGGGTGTAAAATGTTACAATCGTATTTAGGATACTACATTTACAAGCAAGGTGGGATTGAAAGCGGCAAGCAGAGAAGGTCGGCGGTGGTCGATGGTGGTTGATTGGTGATGATCAACGGTGCTCGGCGGCTGCATAGGCCTAATGTTTTCTTTCTTCGAGTCTTCGGTCTAGAAAGAGCTTTGAAATTTCTCTTATTTTTCTTCTCTCAAGTGAACAAAGGGGGATTTTCTTATAACATCTGAGGTAGTAGCGCTTTGGTCTTTTGGCAAATAATTTCCCCAGCCATCTGACTAAACAACTCATATTAATCCCCTTGATCATAGGGTTTTTTAAAGATTTGGATGTCTTAATG